GTGGTAGTGGTAGTGGTAGTGGTAGTGGTAGTGGTAGTGGTAGTGGTGGTAGTAGTAGTAGTAGTGGTAGTGGTAGTAGTGGTAGTAGTGGTAGTAGCGGTAGTAGCGGTAGTAGCGGTAGTAGCGGTAGTAGCGGTAGTAGCGGTAGTAGCGGTAGTAGTGGTAGTAGTGGTAGGTGGTAGTGGTAGTGGTAGTGGTAGTGGTAGTGGTAGTGGTAGTGGTAGTAGTAGTAGTAGTAGTAGTAGTAGTAGTAGTAGTTGTAGTCGTAGTCGTAGTGGTAGTCGTAGTCGTAGTCGTAGTGGTAGTAGTAGTCGTCGTTGTCGTAGTAATAGTAGTAGCTGGTCAAATAAACCTCTGTAGAACTTCTTCTTAGAACCTCTACCACATCCTAGAAACAAAAGCTGCAGCCCTGTTGTTGTTTGTTGGACCCCCTCAAAAGGTGTTGTTGTCTCTGCACCCCCTAGAAACAAAGACTGCCCCGTTGTAGTTTTTTGAACGCTCCAGAACAACACCTCAAGAACACAAAAGTGGACCAGCCCAGACTTCAGTGAAACAAGTCCAACAAGTCCACCCACTTAGAAAACCAACATTTCCTCAAACCTTCAACCGTATCCCTAACCATATCCCTTGAAGTTCCAAAGTTACAACATGTGACAATTATGTTGGGCGGCTGTTTTTGTTTCTACCACAAACAACAACAATTTGTTGGATTTATGCCGATTTCTTGGCCAGAAGCAAGGAACCGAAAACATGACGTGCTGGCTCAACATTACAAGTCCAAGGCTCTATTTTTCTTACCGAAAGATTCAGAAGCTCCCGAAATCAAGTCCCCGTTTCTTGTTTTTGACTGCCAGGGTCAAGAGTAGGGCCGCCCGTCTTGGTTCATATTTCAAGGTACCCCGAGGGTGTTCCACAAGGTCCAGGCTTGACATGGTCTTTCCCACCATCGCAAAGAAGATAATTTGAACATGTTTGAATTTGAACGGCAAAGAACTATTAGTGGCTAACTTTGTTGAAGCGACTATGCTTAGGGCATTCTTCTGGCGTGCAGTTTTTTGAAGTGCAGAAAACGAAGATTTGCTTTGAGGTCTCTCCGACTATCACCCAAGAACAAAGATGAACAAGGGAGGTCATGCGAAAAGTACATAAGGAGGAACTGGTGGTGCGACGAAAGTCAAATCTTTGAGTCCTACTGGAGAAGTGAGTGAAGGTGCTAGGCCAAAGGCGAAAAGCAACAGCAGGTTTGGAGATGCACCAACACCACCATCATAGACTGATATGCAGGGTGATATGAGAGATGAGTTGTATACATATCAGAAACAGACAGTGAATATAGTTACATTCAAGCACGGATATAGAACAAATCCACGAGTATTTCCCAAATAGCCTCAGGTTTTGGCATTGAACGTCTTGTGGATGGCTGTGGAGCTGGAGGTCATGGGAAGTAATTCAGGTGCGCGAGTTGGACCCTGAAGCAGGCAAAGATTGATGTATATCGTTCTTGAGAACACTTATGAATCAAGAACGCGTGGTGGTTCCACGACATTCTCCAATGCTTCGACCGTGGGGGGCACTACACGCTTCCAGAAGAGAGCTTGGCCAGAGCCTGGTTCTCATGCACCGGGGATCCAACCCTCCAAATCAGTGGGTATCGGAATAGGATCTCGGCTGGCTTTGATCGTTCCAGTAGACCGATCCATGTCGTTCATCTCTGCGAATCGACATGGTTGTTCCGTCCATGTCGTCCCTGTTCCGTCACTCGTTCGCATTTTTGGCGCCACGAATCGATCTTAGAAGGCATCACATGGCTGTCACAGTGCTCCAACATCCTGGAATTGGCAGATCGAGATGTTGACCCAAGACGTCTCCCCATTCTGACACCCCTGATCCTGTGGGGGCCCTCTGGATCCAAATGGCCGTCCGGCTAGGCCACGTGCTGGGTGTGTATGACCGGGCCATTCCAAACTTCGAGATGTGGACACCTGGGCCGAGCCAGGGGTGAGGTTCGTGACTGGGTGTTGGGGGTCTTTTTCTTGCGAAGGGCGGGACAAGTGACTCGATCTAGTAGTACCGAGGCATGGCACTGATTTGAGGATCAGTTCGGCCAGATTCAGTGTTTGATTTGAAGAAAGTTCCTTAGAGTCGATACAGCACCCCCAGAACATCCCAGAACTCCTGGCTTGAATGCCAAAGACCCTTTTTAGGCAAAACCATTTGGGAATTGAGCCAAGAGTCTTGAGTCAGTATAGTTGTCTCAAGTCCCACTTGATGCACCGCAGTAGGCAAGGGATCGTCACATAGGCCAGTTGAGCAAGACTCAAAAAAGCCAAAATTCCTATCAGTTGGGATGTTGTTTTTGAAAAAAACGATACCAATGCCCGGATGCCCCAAGCAATAGAAAAGCTTTGCGAGTCAAAACAGGTCCAGGTTTGAAAGCAGTTCTTTTAAGTCTGAGATGTTCACTTGGACAAAGATCTCACCAAACCAATACAGTAATATACATGTGCAGTACTTGCAGACGGGTGCTTCTGGTTCTGAACTTTTTGCGAAAGATCATATACACCGTGTGCCAACCGTGGGCTATTTTCATAGCACACTTGGCTTTCCATCAGTTCGTCGGGGTGCTTCGACTGCACCGCGTGGCTCCACCGCGTATGGCGTGTTGCCATGGTTCGGAGCCCCGTCTACGAGCGCCGAGCCTTCCAAGGCGCGGAGCCTTCCTCGTGGGCGACAGCGTCTTCGCCTACATCTTCATTGTGGACGTGCTCGTCCGCGTCTCCGTGGCGTGGCGCAGGGGCAAGCGAACGCGTGGACTGGTGCTGGTTTTTGGTGCGCACATGGTGGTGACGTCACTAAGGTTGAGCCTAGCATGCAAGTGACGTCAGGTTTGTTGCAGGTGAAGAGTTCGATCCTTCGTAAAGAGGCAGATCCAGAATTGGATCGCCATCTCCAGTGGTCAGCCCTGGGCCATGCGGTGGTACCACACATTGTATGTACCCTTCGCTTGTTTTTCTTCCGTCTGGACGAACCAAACCACCGAGCTTCCCCGCTTCCCATGGTCTGCTCGTCCCAGCGAGCACCGAACCGGACGAGGTGCTCCGGAGGAAGTTCTTCACTGTTTGTCGCTTTGGAGACGAGTTGGCGCCGGCCTTTTTCGCGGTCTCCGCGGCCTCCGTTCGACCAGCGGAGACGGAGGGAAAAGACGGGACGTTGGCAGTAGGGAGTTACACCAAAATGGAAGATATCGACCATGTATGTTTTGGTCTTTCATTGATTTGGACTGGTCAACCAATATCCTCGCTTTTGCCACATGTTGCCTTTTGCGACATCGTCATTTGCTTTGGTTACCAGCGATTTGAATGTGACCCCAAATTCCACACGGATACATGTGGTGATGCCCATTCCGTGATGCTATTATTGGACACAAGGGGGAAACTCACCAAGTTTGTTGGAATTGTCGGAGGTCATTGGATCATTGCTTCCAAAGACAGTGCGAGTTCAAATGCTTGGGCTTACGTCATGTGGATGACAGATGACGATGTTTTTTCCATGTGTTTCCCTTTGCAGGGGGCAGTGTTTGGTGATGTTTCTCCTCGACATCAATGTGGCGGCTAGAGACACACGAGAGAACCGAACCATAGCACATTGTCCCACGAGCCAGAAGCAAGACAAATCACCTCAGATCCGCACATTTCGAAGCAGTCTGACCTTAATTTCAATTCGGGTTGAGGAGAGGCTTGAGCTTTTCAGGTTTGAGCACCAGTCTGTGGGTTTTCAACCAGTCGTCAAGCATTTGGGAGGATGTATCGTGGGATGCATGTCAACCTCGGGTGTTGGGTTTTTCGGGTACTCCCATTTTTGGGCGACCTGCACAGTCCTGCGGAGTCCTGAGTCCTAGTCCCAAACAGTCCAGGTCTGAACTACGTAGACGTCGCAGTCTCCATGACCTCTCTTGCAGAAGTCCTTCTGGGGGCCATCGGCGGAGTGCCTCGGAGATGTGAGGACAGCGTCTCTACCTCGGAACGCCCGCGCGGTCTCTCTCTCTCTCTATTTCTCTCTCAGTCTCAGACAGAAAATGACGATGTATTTGCGGCTTTTGCTGATCCAAAGAACAAGTCCGGCATCTTTTCCAGTGCCTTGAGCAATGACAGGGATTTGATGCATTGAACCACAGGTTCCATTGAGAAGAAATTGAATCGCCAGGGATTTTCCAATGACAGGTGGTTCAATGGAATGATTCCTTTAATTAAGAGAGCACCTGCTGGGGCTGCAAAAGCTCGAACGGAGACGACCCCGCTGAACATGCTGCCTCCCCCCAAAAAAGAGAAGAACAAAGGCAACCAACACCTGTGGCCCCCGCAGGAGTGGTTTTGGCTGGTTTTGCAGAAGCCGACAGCGCCTCTCACACGGTTCGTAGCTGGAAACCCATGGCCGGACAACAAAGCCGTGGCCAGGATGACTTCTCCGCCAGCGACCCCCCCCAAACACAAATATCCTCGCATTTACAAGCAGCTGACCTTGGAACTTGACTTCCACTTCCAGTTTAGTTCGAACCTTGTACTTCAACTACAACCTTGGAAACTTTCCAGTTTTTCCCCTCCGCCTGTCCCAAAGCCTTAGGGCTCCATGCCGGTGAGCCCTGTGCTTTTTTAAGCTGCTGCGGATTGGGAAGCTGGCACGAGCCATTCGAATGATCACCATGAGCACCATGCTTCTGTCTCTGCAGCGGCTAGGCATGGGGAAATGTATGGACATGTGGATATTTCGTGACGTTTCGCTTTTGAAGACAGTGGGAAAATCGCACCAAAGCGGACATCAGGGAGTGGTGGATTAGGTTAAAGCCAAGTGATGGGATCAGAGCAGATATCGCAGCAGAAAAGCTGAAGTCATCTCAGGGTGGGCAGCAGAGTTATCAGAGTTGGATGTTGTGTGGACTCAGCCAACACTCGTCGAGTTTTCTTCCCTGATGAGGTGAGACTTGATGAGTTGAGCCAAATCGACTTGGGACTTCTATAGACTTCTAGACTCCCCTTTGATCACCTGGCTTCTGGCATCCCACAATGATCCAATCATGTCGGATGGCCCCGGGCTTATCTCGTGAGAGAATGATTTGTACACTCTGACGAGCACATCACATGGAAGTGGAAAAACATATCGGAACATGATCCCTTGGAAGACTACTTTTCTCTACAAACTTGTGGGTTTCCACTTCCATGTGATGTGCTCGTCCGAGTGTACAAAATTGGATAAAATTGGATATCACTCTATATAGTCAACCATATAGAGAGATGGTCCACCTGGAGAGACTCAACCATCTTGGACCATGAATGACCATTCTCAACATCAAGCAGCACAGGTGGAAGAGTTGACACCCAGGAGTCGAGTGCCAAAGGGGATGTGCTGAACATGGGCACCCCCCACCGGTTGCATCCGCGAGGGACACGAGTTCACCGTACGAAAAATACACCATGATACCACCTGTGGGACCTATGACCCCCACAAAAAAAAAGGGGTCATGGATGTTCGAAATTGGCACCACAGTCCGCGTGAAACGTCCCCTGATCAGCTGTCCACATGGAACCTCTCCTGTTTTTTTTGATCATATATATATATATATATATTGTTTTTTGGGGTTAAGCAGCCTCCCAATTAGTATTGAAAAGGATCTGCAGTTTTAGCCTTTAGTAGCACAAGCACAAACTCAACTTTTAAAAAATACCACATATCATTGGCCTTTGGCCATTGGGTTCTGGTTTGAGCTCGATTTCTTCGAGGCTCTTGATCAAATGCCTGGCGGCCAGTCGCGGCATGCTCTTCTGGAGTTTCTGCCTATTGAGCTTTGTTCAGTGCGTGGCCGGCATGATTCTCAGCGCCTTGACACAGGACTTCATTAACGCCCCTCTGATGCAGAAGCTGATGGGATTCGCGCATGGCGGGAGGCGACATCGGCTCTTTCAATGAAATGGAGCTCCAAAAGTTAGGCTTTGGACGGTTTCCAGTGATTTTAAGGGGCCTTTTCTATCAGTTCAGGTTCATCACTCACTACAAAATTGTATAAGTACAAGTAAGGACAAGGGTTCATTTCTGAACGGGAGTCAACGTTGTTTATATTTCGACTATTGACTATTGTAGCCAAAAGCACAGCTGTAGTCCTATAGTAGTGTACTAGCACCACGACTCACACAAGGGTTTCTTTGGAACACAATCGAGAAACCAGGAAAATCAGAGCGCTCAGAAGTTACATAAAGCGGTCGTATGGAGTTAGCCTCCTCCTGGGACTCTTGATCGATTATTTTGTCTTCAGGATTTTGAGGGTTTAAAATACGGTGACTTGGAACATCACCGAAGCAAAGCCGAAAAAAAAGGAAGCCAACACACAAGAAACCCCCGGACAAGAGAATCGATTGTGCTAGTCACTCTGGAATGATGATGTGGTGATAATCTATATAAGTCAACTTGTGAACACACAGGACAGTCCGTACCTTGACTGGTGCCAACCCTTGGAAAGCGAGGCCGGAAAGCAAGCAATGCAGCCGAGTAGATGCTGTAAGACATGATAACACCAAATTGGTCCAAGTTTTGTATATTCAAGGTTGCTCAGATACCCCTCAAGGCTCTTGAACGCCAACTTGCCCCAAGACACAAGAAGTCACAGGACATAGGATGCCCAGATCTGCATGTATAGGAGATTCCCCATAGCAGCATCACCGGAGTGAGGGGTAGCACGCGCAGGTGTCCATGCCACCTAGTCATGGAACCAGTAAACAAGGAATTGGGGGGGGGTGGGGGTACAAAGACTTGACGCAATCCGTCTATGCATTTTCGGGGGGTACAAAGACCTCATCTGTCTGATACCCGTTCACACCAGTTCGTTCAGTCACGACTCTACTCGCATCTTCGTCCAGTGACTAGCGCTCTCAGGACTTGACCAGAGATGCCAAAGTGCGGGAGGACGTCTTTCGCTACTATGGTGCCCCAAGACGTCCCGACGGTCCCGACGGTCCTGACGTCCCAAACCGCACTGCAAGGTATAGGTAGCAAAAGCAGCGACCCCGAGTGACCCCGAGGTTCTGTTCCACCTGCTCTGACACTGTCGATGCTGCAGATACCTGAACTAAAAGAAGCCAACAAGCCATGCTCCAGACCAAGACCTTGCAGATCTGTGGGTGGTGAATGATTGAGTTGAAACGCGGCAAACGCATCAAACGAGTCAAAGTACCTACATATAGATGACCTTGCACTTGCTGAACGCCCACCAAAATGATTGCCTGGTGCTGAGGTTATCATTTGCAGTGTAGCGACACCAATCAATTAGTTCATATAAACCAGCCTTGAATCCATGCTGCCAAGTCCAAGAAATGCAATAGCCAAACTCTTGCCCCGATGTTCATGTCTTGCCGGATTCGAGACGGTTGCCATTCTCGGGTGAACTGGGTGCTGATGTTTGATTCTCAGAAAGGTCGGCAGAAGTGTCAACAGGTCACTGTGTTTCGTGATTTCACCGCTTCCGCACCGCTTCCGCACCGCTTCCGCACCGCTTCTGGTTCAGCGACCTGTTGGAATCGGGTTGTTTCACGGGGCCCACCTCATGGTGAGGGGTTCCTTGGGGTGAAGAACTATGTTCATGCTGCAAAGCAAGATTTCTTCAGATTTCTTCCATGCGACCTGCGATAAGCTCATCCACACTCGCTGAGGTACATTCACACGGACCTTCCTTTCAATGCTTGGAGACTGAGAGGGACCGAGTTCTGCCGAAGGGATCGGGATTTGGGACTCAGAGCAGACCGAAAAGACCGTACGGTGGCCCATCAATGGGACTCCCCGGACTCCCTGGATTGTTGATGTGGTAGTCGATGTGAAAACAACACGTCCACCGTGCAGTCCGCCATCCGCCCGGAGGGTTGCGGACGGCGACTGTATGTCTTCTTCAAAGTCTCGACCTGCAGTAGTTCAATATCTTGATCTGATCATTCTCCTCAAATGACTTCTTGGTGGTGTCTATGACCTCCGGTCCGAACCTGGGACTGTGTGGCCAAGAGCACCATGAAGAGATCGCTTCATCGAGTCCGGGCCCAGATTCGAAGTCCCAGGTGGCATTTTCCCTCGAGGTCCCTGAGATCAGCGTTTCCTCCCTCCCTCCCTCCCTCTCTCTCTCTCTCTCTCTTGTGTGCACGGTGGAGAGAGCGCTGCTGATCAGCTGCCGTCAACACTTCGCATGCTGCTGCCACGGCAGTGCAGAGCTTCAGGGTGCCAGCTTGATAGCGTGCTTCAAGGTTGCATGACCTCTTGGGTGGCTTCAGGTCGCAAGACCTCTTAAAGAGGATTCAGGGTGGCGCAGGGGATGCGCCGCGGCGAGGTTTGACATTGCACCGCCTGCTGTTCAATGTGGGCCTCCTTCGACTTAGTCTTTTGGTGCAAACGGTAGGCTGGGCAACTGAGTGGGCAGAGTGATGCATGCCGTATCTTCAATGAGCCTCGCGTGGTTGCTATGCTGGTAGCTCGGCAACATTGGAGCATCTGCGCAGGTTCTAATTCCCAATAGTCAGACCTGGTAAATCACAATTATTGTAAGTAGTGAAGAGCCAAGCTTGCTTGAGCTTATCTTCGTCTTTCGTTCCTGGCGAACTGATTGGTGGGGTATAGTCAGTATACTGTAGTTCTCGCATGTTCTCGCTATGCTTGTGTCTGCGCCTGAACTTATCGTAGTGTGCTTAACAGCGTGGAGGACTGTGAAACACAGCTTGTGAGGGATTGCCGTCCTACTGGGGCCTTGCAAAATGCAGCCAACAGGCACTGACAGGTTGAT